AGGCAAACATGGTGCTGGAGAAGCCGAGAGTTCTATATCTTCATCTGAAGGCAGGCAGAAGGAGACTGTCTTCTGCAGGCAGCCAGGAGGAGGGTCTCTTTCCACACTGGGCAGAGCTTGAGCATAGACCTCAAAGCCCACCCCCACAGTGACATACTTTCTCTAACAAGGTCATACCTCCTAATAGTGCCACCTCCCATGGAGCCAAACATATTCAGACCACCACAATACTCAAATAAGTTTACTGATTTAGAATATCAAGCAAAACAAAACCACCAAAGGATTTACTTGCTGTGGCAAGATGCTTTGGCTTAGGCTGAGGGAAGTCTTGTGAAGTGGCCTAATGAATTCTCTCCTTGAGTTTAAAGACAAGTTGCTAGTGAGAGTTTAATAGCTGTCTTACAAAGCAACCTCTACATTGCTCCTTAAGGGATTTTTCTTTCTGGTACTAGAATAAAGGACTAGTTACAATTGTCTCTGTAAACATTTATATATTAATTTACTGTGTCTGTGTGCATAAGTGTACGTGCACATACATACATTTGTAGGGTTAAGACAGCTGATGGGAGTCGGTCCTCTTCTTGTAGCATGTGAGTTCCTAGAATTGAATTTAGGTCATCTGGCTTGACAACAAGAGCCTTTACCTGATGAGGTGTCTTGCTAGCCCTAGTTAAAATTGTCTTGTACAGGCTGGAGAGATGGCTCGTTGGTTGAGAGCAGTAGCTGCGCTTCCAGAGGACCCAAGTTCAATTCTCAGCATCCACATGACAGTTCACAACTGTCTGTAGCTCCTGTTCCATGGGATCTTTCTACTTTAGGATCTGATGATTGGACTCAGGTCATTAATCTTGGCAGCAGTCACCTAATCACTTAGAGCCATTTTGCCAACCCTCAAAAGAGGTACAGGGGGCTGGTGAGATGGCTCAGCTGTTAAGAGCACTGACTGCTCTTCTAGAGGTCATGAGTTCAAATCCCAGCAACCACATGGTGGCTCACAACCATCTACAATGAAATCTGATGCCCTCATATGGGTGTCTGAAGACAGCTACAGTGTACTTACATATAATAAATAAATAAATCTTAAAAAAAAAAAAGAGGTGCAAAAGTGCTGGAGAGATGGCTCAGCAGTTAAGAGTCCTTATTGGTCTATCTGAGTACTGAGATTTGGATCCCAGCATCTACATCAGGTTGTTTACAAACACCTGTAACTCTAGCTTGAAGAGACCTGACAACCTCTTCTGGTTTCCATAGGTACTTACACACATATACCTATACATACACACACATAGCTGTAAAAATATGTAAAGTTTCTGTTTATTCTTTATCCAATATTACTGTAATGTAGTGGGTTCAATCAGTCAATATTGTTTTTTTTTTTAAATGTTTATTTATTTATTGTATTGATGAGTACACTGTAGCTGTCTTCAGACACACCAGAAGAGGGCATCCAATCTCATTACGGATGGTTGTGAGCCACCATGTGGTTGCTGGGATTTGAACTCAGGACCTTTGGAAGAGCAGTCAGTGCTCTTAACTGCTGAGCCATCTCTCCAGCCCCTAGTCAATATTGTTAGTGTATATATCTTATAAGAATTGAGCCAGCTTTTGCCACCCACTGCTGCCGAGGTCTGTCCACTGCAGCTGACATGGGCTATGTCACCTCTTATCTGCTGGCCGCCCTCGGGGGCAACTCCTTTCCTAGCACCAAAGACATCAAGAAAATACTAGGCAGCGTGGGCATCGAGGCAGATGATGACCAGCTCAACAAAGTCATCAGTGAGCTGAACAGAAAAAACATTGAGGATGTCATTCCTCAGGGTGTTGGTGGCTCAAGCTGGCTGGTGGGGCTGTGGCTGTTCTACTGTCCCTGGCTCTGCAGCTCCTGCTGCTGGTTCTGCCCCACTTCCACCTTGCAGCAGAGAAGAAAGACCAGAAGAAGAAGTCCAAGGAGTCGGATGATGACATGGGATTTGGTTTGTTTGATTAAATTCCTGCTCCCCTGCAAATAAGGCTTTTTTATATATCTTGGGGGGGAAAAAAAAGAATTGAGGCAGTGCATGCCTTTAGTCCCAGCACTCAGGAGGCAGAAGTATGTGGATCTCCTATGTTGTGGCCAGCCTGATGTACAGAGTGAGTTCCAGGACAGCCAGGGCTACACAGAGACACCCTGTCTTGAAAAACAGAAAACAGAGCAAAATAAAAAGAATTGTACTGCTTCCTTGTGGTTGTCCAGTTTCTGGCCTAATGTTCAGTCCATGACCTCGTTTTGCATTTAGTGGTTTTGTCTCCTTAGTGACTACCAATCTGGGACATGATCTTTAATTTTTCAAGATTCCTGGGCAGTTATTTTGCGTTCAGTTTGGGTTGTCTGATGTTTTCCGATGGTTAGGTGGAGGGTATGGTTTTGCTTGTTTCCTCATCGTACCATTTTGATACCATGAGAACCACAGAAATGTTTTTATTACCACATCAGTGAATCATGAGATGCTTGATAATTCAGTTAACATATTGATGATTTTTTAATAGATCACCTGATCAAAGCAGGTACTGTAAGGTCTAGATGAAATTATTACTTTTCCCTTGCAAATATTTTGTTTTTCATACTTTTGCCCACTGACTTTAGCATCCACTAATGATGGTTTCCTTTGGAAATCATTCTGTGGGTCAGCCAAGTGATGACTTCCTGTTGCATTCTTCATTTTTTACCCTTTTTCATCCTGGTGTTGAGCTCAGATCCTCCCGCTTGCTTTGCATGCTGCCCTGCTGCTGCATCACATGTGTGCCCTTCCTACACTTTCCACTGAGAAGTCCGTATAAGGAGAGTGTCTTAGTTACTGCTTCACTGCTGTGAACAGACACCATGACCAAGGAAACTCTTGTAAGGACAACATTTAATTGGGGCTGGCTTACAGGTTCAGAGGTTCAGTCCATAATCATCAAGGCTGGAGCATGGCAACATCCAGGCAGATGTGAGGCTGGAGAGTTCCACTTCTTGTTCCAAAACAGCTAGAAGGCTAACTTCTAGGCAACTAGGATGAGGGTATTATAGCCCTCACCCACAGTGACGCACCTACTCCAACAAGGCTACACTTCCTAATAGTGCCACTTCCTGGGCCAAACATATACAAACCATCACAGAGAACATTTTTTTTTCCACCTATTTATTTATTTACATCATAGTTTTAATGCTTAGTATATTAATATATATTAGTATATCAGATGATGTATTTAAATAAGTCTCCATTAATCAATGTTGGGATTATTTTCAAGTTTTTATTAAGAGAGTCTGGAGAAATGGCTCATCAATTAAGAGCACTGGCTGCTCTTCCAGCGGACCCTGGATCTATTGCTGACATCTACTCAGTGGCTCACAGCCATCTGTAACTCAGTTCTAGAGGATCTGATGCTCTCTTCTGGCCTCCTCAGGACCAGGCACATATGTGGTGCACAAGCAAACACAAGCAAAACACTCATACATAGAAAATAAAGAAAAAAATATTACTCTGAGAGCTCTACTGAATATTTTGTCAAGGACTTGATCAGTTATTTCCTAAGATAATCTACCTTAAGATTTATCATTTGGGAGCAGGCCTGGCAGCACTGGCCTTTTATCCCAGCATTGCGGAGCCAGAGATAAGTGGATCTCTGTTGAGTTCAAGGCCACTCTGGTCTATATAGAGTTCTGAGCCAGCTAGAGCTACATAGTGAAACTTTGTATAAACCCAAAAATTATCATTTTGTTTGGGTGATACAGCTCAGTAGTGGAGCATTTGCTTAGCATGTACAAGTTTCCGTTGAGTCTACAGTGCTAAACCAAACTAAACCCTCCCCCAGATTTACCACCACCAAAACCAAAACCAAACCACCACCACCAAAACCAAACCACCACCACCAAAAACAAATACTTTAAGCTGGCCATGGTGGTGCATGCCTGTAATCCTAGTACTTGGGAGGTGGAGGCAGGAGAGTTAAAAAGTTTAAAGTGATTCTTGGCTGAGTAGGAAGTTTGAGGCCAGACTGAGCTCTTTAGCACATCAGCTAAACATCTCAACAAGCAAACAAACCAAAGTGTCGTCTTAGCTGGGCTTGATAGCTTGCTTCTATAATGCCAACACTTTGGTAGGGGTGGGGTGCTGAGGCAGGTGCCACAAGAGTGACTGCCTGTTTCACTAGCCTGGACAACACTTTTTTTAAAAAAAAAAAGATTTTTTATTTATTTATATGTAAGTACACTGTAGCTGTCTTCAGACACCCATATGAGGGTATCAGATCTCATTGCAGATGGTTGTGATCCACCATGTGGTTTCTGGGATTTGAACTCATGACCTCTAGAAGAGCAGTCAGTGCTCTTAACCACTGAGCCATCTCACCAGCCCCTAGACAACATTTTTAAAAGCCAGCTGCTGATCTTGTTAATTGTGCTTTGGAATAGGGCAGAATATACATAAAAGGAATGCTTTAGAATTGATGGAGGTTACAAGAAAGTAGAAATTATGATTTTTTAAGAATTTATTTAACTATATTTTATGTGTATGTATGTATGTATATCTGCATGTGAGTGTGAGCCTGTCAATGCAGAGATCAGAAGAGGGCCTATTGGCAGTTGTGGGCTGCCCAGCGTGGGTGCTGGAAATTGAACTGAGGAGCAAGAGTAGTTTGCACTCTTAATTGCCATGCTATTTCTCCAGACTCAGAAGTTTACAGTTCCGTATAATACTTTCTCATAATGAGCATTGCCCATGATGGAAAGGTCTGCTTTGTATGTAAGAATTGGCCATTGTTGAAAATTGTGTGTGTGTGTGTGATATTCTTTGAGAATTTCATATGTGTGTACGGTATTGAAAATTTTTTCAAATCAAGACCTTCATCCACTTGCTTGACCTGAGGTAAAGAGATTAGATAAATTTAGGGTTTTTCTTGGTCTTAGGAATATCTAACACTTTATGACCATTTGCTGATGTCTTTAAAGTGTGAATGAACTTGTCTTTCTTCCCTTTCAGTGGTTGAAGGCCTTGCACTGTTGGATCTAGGAGTGTCTCCATATTCTGGAGCAGTGTTTCATGAAGTAAGTATGTGCTTTCTTTTCTGGCACTGAGAGTAATTTATAGTCAGATACCAAAGCCTGAACTCTGTTTGCTACAGACATTTAAAAAGATCTTTTTTTTTTTAAATAGGAATAGCCCTTTTGTAGAATTACAGGAAAAATGATCTAGGTTATGATTTTAAAAACTCGAGAGAGAGAGAGAGAGAGAGAGAGAGAGAGAGAGAGAGAGAGAGAGGCATGTGCGTGTATGCACATGTGTGTGTATGTGTGTATGTGTGCAGGCGTTCTTGTGTGTGTGACAACTTTCAGGAGTCAGTGCTTTCAGTCTCCTCATGCCAGTGTAGCTGCCAGAGAAGCTTCTGGGTTGTTCTGTCAGAAGTTCTGAGATTCCAGATGCCACCAGCTTTCTGTGGGTTCTGGAGACCAAAAGGAGGCTTCCATAGAAGTTATTTTCTTTTTATTGCAAGTTTTTTTTTTTAAAGATATATTTATTTATATATATGAGTACATTGTAGTTGTCTTCAGACACACCAGAAGAGGGCATCGGATCCCATTACAGATGGTTGTGAGCCGCCATGTGGGTGCTGGGAATTGAACTCAGGACCTCTGGAAGAGCAGTCAGTGCTCTTAACTGCTGAGCCATCTCTCCAGCCCTTATTGCAAGTTTTAAGCAGCTCTCAGTCTATGAGTCACTGTATGCTAAGTGACATGTTTTGTTTTTGTTTGTTTGTTTGTTTTTGTTTTTCAAGACAGGGTTTCTCTGTGTAGCCCTGGCTGTCCTGGAACTCCCTTTTGTAGACCAGGCTGGCCTCAAACTCAAGACATCTGCCCGCCTCTGCTTCCCAATTGCTGGGATTAAAGGCATGTGACACCACTGCCCACCTCATAAAACTAGTTCTTAAAACTAATAAAAGCAAGCTAGGCATGGGCTCCCACTGTAACCCCTGCTTTCCAGGGGCCAAGCCAGGGGACTGCCATGACGAGGCCTGCCCAGGCCCGGGCTATATGCTGCTCTTATCTCAAACTGGCAAAAGAACAAAAATATAAAAATGCTCTTTGTTGGGTAATCGTCCTTATCTCTTGGATTTCTGCCCCACACATCTTTCTTGTTAAGTTTTTCCTTGTTCAGAAGTTGCTCATTTACTCTTTACTCTGCAGTTAGGAACATTTTTCTAAAATATGAATATGAATCTGTCACTGTTATGCTGGGCACCTGTATTTGCCACTAAACTCAGGCTTAAAATCCAGATACATAGAGGAGCTCTTACCGAGTTTCTTTCTCATCCCTTTTTCTCTTCCCTTTCTTCTTTCCTCCCTTCCTTTTCTTAAGCACACAAGTCAGTTATTGGGTATATATGTTTGACTTCCACATAATAACCCACTAGCCCCAAAGACCAGTGTGACATGGGCCTCAGGTGTGTTTTAAAGCATGAGAAGTTTTCAGTGTTATTAGGCCATGTTTCTATTGTCTAATCATCTTTGCTCATGCTGTTGTCTCCTAGAAAGCCATTCTTCTCCCTTTTTTGTGTGTGCATGGCTCTATTTATGAGATACAAACTTATATTTTACCTTCTCCAGAAAACCTTCCAGCATCCTGCATCACTTTAGACTAAGTTCAGGGCTCCTCCTCTATCACCCCAGGGATCTTACGCCTTCCATGGCTCATAGCCCACTCTTTTTATTTTCCCAACACAGGGTTTTTCTGTGTAGCCTTGGGTGTCTTGGAACACACTCAGTTGACCAGGCTGGTCTAGAACTCAAGAGGTCCACCTATGTCTGCCTCCTGAGTGCTGAGACTAAAGGTGTGCGTCGCCACTGCTCATATCCCATTCTTAAAATCAGCCCTAATCTGCCAGGTGTGGTGGCACATGCCTTTCCTCCAAGCACTCAGGAGGCAGAAACAAGTAGATCTCTGTTCTATATACAGAGCTGTAAGTCAACCAGGGCTACATATTAAAACCTTGTCTAAAAAAAAAAAAAGAAGCCAGCCGGGCAGTGGTGGCACACGCCTTTAATCCCAGCACTTGGGAGGCAGAGGCAGGAGGATTTCTGAGTTCGAGGCCAGCCTGGTCTACAGAGTGAGTTCCAGGACAGCCAGGACTACACAGAGAAACCCTGTCTCGAAAACCCCCCAAAAAAAAAAAAAAAGAAGCCAAAATTACCTTTATGCTTATTTTTTATATATATTTTAATATTTTTTTTAACTGGATATTTTCACGTATTTTTTTTTTCCCTCAAAACTGTTACACCTTTTCATCACTGACTTCTGGTGCCTACCTCAGTGTCTACATTCTCATGCGAGTCCCTGTTTCTCCTCTCATGCCTTTAGAGACACTTGTACTTACCAAAGGCCATTTCTTACTAGGTTTCAGAAATACAAAGTAAGACACAGACACTGGCTTTATAATACTTGCCTGTCAGTCACTGTGTCTGTCTTTCTTTCCTTTCTCCCTGCCCGCTTTACTTCCCTTTTCTTTTGAGACAGGATCTCATGTAGCTCAGGCTGGCCTCTTTATAGCTGGGGCTGATTTTGAATTCTGGGTCATCTCACTGTTGTCTCCCATGTGCTAGGTTTATATGCACTTGAATTTTTGAGATGTATTTATTTTATGTTTATGGAAGTCTTGCCTGCATGTATGTCTTTTTTTTTTTTTTTGGTTTTTGTTTTTCGAGACAGGGTTTCTCTGTATAGCCCTGACTGTCCTAGAACTCACTCTGTAGACCAGGCTGGGCTCAAACTCAGAAATCCACCTGCCTCTGCCTCGAAAGTGCTGGGATTAAAGACGTGCACCACCACTGCCTGGCAGTGCATGTATGTCTTATGTACCACATATGTACAGCTTCCACAGAGGCCAGAAGAGGGCATTGGATCCTCTGGAACAGGACTTATAGACAGTTGTTAGCTATAATATAGGTGATGGAAATTGAACCTGAGCTCTCTGGAAGTCAGTGTTCTGAATGACTCAGTTATCTCTCCAGTCCAGGTTCTTATGCTTATATTTTTTAAATAAACAAACAGACTCCAGAGCAAAGAATATCATCAGAAATGACAAAGTTCATATCAGAGTGATAGGATGGGTTTCTCAGGAAGAGTAGTTGCAGATCTCTATGTACTAATTACAGCTTTAAAACATAGTAGGTGAAGACTGATAGACTAGGCAGGGGAGACAGCTCAGTGGGTACAGATGCTGGCGCTGCAAGCCTGACATCTTGATTCCAATCTCTGGAAACCACGTAAAAAGCCAGATGGGACACATGTATTTTCAATCCTAGCACTTTGATAGTTAACTAAGGCATAGAGACAGGAGACTCACCTGGCCCTAATGGGTCAGCTAGCCTGGAGTACACAGCATAACAGTGTAAACAAAAAGACACCTCCGCCTCAATAAGGTGGAAGATGACAATTGATTCCTGAAAGTTTTCCTGTGACTTCCAAATGTGTGCTATGGTGTGCACCTCCCCACACTTAAAAGACTCAAGGCTAGTCTCTAATTAGAGTTGGAGATTTCAGTATTTCTGTTAACAGATGATTGAACCAGTGGAAAATTAGCAAGAATATTGAAAGTGGGTTTTTAAAAAGATGAGTCTATTCTAAATTTCTATGTGTGAGTGTTTGCCTGCATATATGTATGTGCATCATTTGTGTGCCTGGTGTCCTCAGAGGTCAGAAGATAGCGTTGGACCTCTGGAGTTATGCATTGTTATGAACCACCATATAGTGACCTCTGGAGTTATGCATTGTTATGAACCATAATATAGGTGCTTTGGGTTGAATCTAGGTTCTCTGCAAGAGCTAGTGCTCTAAACCACTGAGCCCTGGCTCCAGACTCAATAATATAGAAATTTTGACTAATGTTGTCAGCCAGATTGATCTAGAATGCCCCATTCAATAACATCTAAGTGCATTTTAAGTGTGTGTAGAACATTGGTACCAGAGACTATGTTCTGTCCATAAAAGAAGGTTCAATGTATGTATTTGTCACTTAAGAGATTCATTTTTGCTGACCGTAGATGAATTAAAGAATTAACATCAGGAAGATATGTGGAAAATCCCCCAAATCTTTGGAAATGAAATAACCCCTGAGTCAAAGAAGCAATTAGAAGGGAAATTAGAAAGTATCTTTGAAACTAATGAAAGCAAAAACCTTAGTTTGTCATATACGTAGAATGTCACTGAAGTAGGACTTAGGGGAAAATTTATGGCCATTCAGATTGATATACAACATAGGGCAGATTACATTCAATATATGCTCTTTATTGAAAAAGCTTGGTCTTGGAATGTAGCTTAGTTAGTAGAATTCATGCTTACGTGTACAAAGCCCAAATCCCTAGGTTTAATCCCTGGCACTCATAAATCCAGGCATGGTGGCACACACCTATAATACTACCACATAGGAAGAAGAGGTAGGAGGATTAGGAGTCCAACATGATCTTTGGCTACCTAGTGTGAGTTTGAGGATAGTTTGTACTATATGAGACACTGTCTCTTAAACTCAAAAAGCAAAAGGAAGCAAGGAAGCAAGGAAGCAAGGAAGGAAGGAAGGAAGGAAGGGGAAGGGGAAGGGGAAGGGAGGGAAGGTAAGGAAGGAAGGAAGGAAGGAAGGGAGGGGAGGGAAGGGAAGGAAGAAAGGAAGGAAGGGGAAGGAAGGGGAAGGGAGGAAGGAAGGAAGGAAGGAAGGGGAAGGGAGGGGAGGGAAGGGAGGAAGGAAGGAAGGAAGGAAGGGAGGAGAGGGGAAGGGAGGGGAGGGGAAGGGAGGAAGGAAGGAAGGAAGGAAGGAAGGTGGCATACAATAGTAGTTTGATGAGTTAATATAGTTTATTACTGTCAGATGACTTTAAAGCTAAAAACATAACAAACAAAAACCAAAAAACCCCACTTTACTAGACACGAAGAGGATTATTTTGTAATAAGATAAAAATTGATTCAAAAATCAATAAGGATGTAGAAATTTAAAAAATATTACCATACAAATTATAATGTATATACCATAAAACTATACCATGCAGATTTGTATACCATACAAATTGTATATAGAATATATTTATATACAATATATATTTATATAAAATATAGAATACTGTGCCCTTAAACTGCATTTTTTTCAAATGTATGTAGATCACTTGCCCAGACTCACCAAATGATAAACCATAAAGTAAGTCAGAACATACTTTAAGTTATTAAAATCATGTATTGCACTTATAATGATGATATTAGAGTTAAGCTACAAATAAGTTACAATAATATAAAAAGAAGAGCCGGGGTCAGTGATAGAATGTTTAGCATGTGCAAAGCCCAAGGTTTCATTTCCAATACTTCAAAAATAAATGACAAGCTATGCAGTGGTGGCACACCTTCAATCCCAGCACTCGGGAGGCAGAAGCAGGAAGAGCTCTGAGTTCCAGGACAGTCAAGACTATACAGAGAAACCTTGTCTCAAAAACAGACAAACAACAAATATGTGGACTTAAGCCAAATTCTCTTTTGTATTTATACTGAAGATTGAGCATAGGACTCATACATAATGAACACAGCGCCCCCCCCCAACCCGGGCTAGTGTGTACATTTCAAAGTAGTCTCAAAGAAAAATGTCATGGAAATTAGAGTATATTGTCTTTTTAAAAGATTTATTTTTAATTGTGTGTATATGTGAGTGCTATGTGTACAGGAAGCCCAAAGCATCAGGTCCTCTGGAACTGTAATTACGGGCAGTTGTGAGCCACCTAATGTGGGTGCTGGGAACCTAACTCCAGGTCTCTGCAAGAATGGCAAGTACTCTTAACCCCTCTTTGCCTTCTCTCCAGCCCCTAAAATATATTTTTAATTGAATGATAGTGGAAAAAAAGCAACATACCAAAATTTTTGTGTTAGTGCTAAGAGGAGAATGTATTGCCTCAAACAAAAAAGGAACTATTACAAAAAACAAACAAACAAACAAACAACAAAAAAAAGGAAATATTAGAAACAACTTTATGTTAATGAGATGGAAATTTTGATGAAAATGTACATAAATGTCTAGAAGATACTACTTACCTGGATTAATAAAACAAAGCAAATCAGTATAATGTTTACTACATGAGAAAAACTGAACCCACAAGTTAAGTCTCTCAAACAGAACAAAACAGAACCTGCTGAAGCTGGACTTGGTGGTACACATGTAACCCCTGTTCTTGGCAGGCCAAAGCAGGAGCATCGGGAGGGAACTTAAAGCATCATTGGTCACACAGTGTATTTAAGGCTAGCTTGGCCTGCATAAGACCTTGTCTTTGGGGGTGGGGGGGTTCAAGACAGGATTTTTCTGTGTAGCTCTGGCTGTCCTGGAACTCACTCTGTAGGCTAGGCTGGCTTCAAACTCAGAAATCCGCCTGTTTCTGCCTCCCAAGTCCTGGGATTAAAGGAGTGTGATATCACTGCCCATCAAGGCAAGAATTAACATTTTTAGATAGACTTATCAGAGAATAGAGGAAGGAAATTTTCCTAATTTGTTCCATTCAACATTCTGTCCTGTATGGAGTGTACCTCCCTCCCTCACTCCTTCCCTCCCTCACTCCTTCCCTCCCTCCCTCCCTCTCTCTTCCTCCCTTCCTTTCTTTCTTTTCTTCTTTTATTTTCAAGACAGGATCTCATGTAGCCCAGATTAGCATAGAACTTGCTATATCCAAGATGACTTTGAGTTTCTGATTCCCCTCCCCTCCTGCCCCTGCACTTAAATCCTGGAAGTATAAACACTCACCATCATACTAGGTTTTTGCAGTGCTGGAGACCAGCCCTGGGGCTTCATGTATCCCAAGCAAACATCTTAGAGACTGAGCTATATCCTATCCCCTATTTACTTTTTCAGATGGGGTAAACTGAAGTGCCAAGGCTGGCCTTGAACTCCTCCTAGGTTCAATCTGTCTTCTCACCTCAACCACCTGAGTGTTTACTGCAAGTGTGAACTACCAAGCCACACATGCCAGGCACATTTCGAATTAATATCAGGTCTTGTTAATTCCTCTACTATATTCTGTTGACATTTTCAGTGATACCATGTGGTTCAGGATGCCAAGTTTTTCAATTAGTAGAGGATACAGTTGCAGGAAGAACCAGATGTTTTAGCTGAATAAGTTTTTCCCCATCCCCAGTTTGGAAATTAATAAATTATATTAAGGTATAACTTAATTTTTTTCCTCTTTGTTTTTTTCCTACAGACTCCATTAATAATATACCTCTTTCACTTCTTAATTGATTATGCAGAATTGGTATTTATGGTAAGTATCTTTCCAGAGAAAATCAATATCTCTATGTACAGATTTGTATTTATAGTTTGTTTTTAAGAAAATAAAGAGCTGGGTGGTGCTGGCACATGGCTTTAATCTTAGCACTTGGGAGGGAGAAGCAGTTGGATCTTTGTGAATTTGAGGCTAGCCTGGTCATAGCAGGTTCCAGGCAAGCAAGGGCTTTATCATGAAACCCTGGTCTATAAGAGAAAAAAAAAAATGGAAAGGAAAAACAGGAAGTGGAGTTTCTCAGAAAGCAAGAGGCAAGCCTTACTATCTTTAGTGTGGACCTTGGCTTTGGGGTGGCAGGATGGTGTGTGAGGAATAGGCAGGGACTCTGACCAGTTCTTCTTTCTTACTCTTTGGTTTCTGGACTATGTGGTCTTCAATTTTGTAGCCTCAAATTCTATGGTTGGCTTTAACTGTGTCAATTTGGAGGGGATCCTGAGTTCCCTAAGCATCCTGCCAAGATATTCTGAGGGGGCTGAAGAGGCTTTCAAGGACAAGAATTGAAGATTGATATGACAGGGCGAGTTATGAGAGCAGAGCAGCTGGAAACATTGGTCTGGAGTAAATCTGGGTCAGGATATAAAACACTGCTAGCTGTAAGTTAGCAGGAGGTGGTGGTGCACACCTTTAATTTCAGCACTCAGGAGGCAGGGGCATGTGAATCTCTTGAATTTGAGGCCAGCCTAATCTACAGAGAGACTTTCAGGATAGCCAGGATTACACAGAGAAGCCCTGTTGAACACCCCATCCCACCCCGTCCCGTCCCACCCCCACCCCCCCCAAAAAAAAAGAAAGGGAAAAAGAAACCCTGAAGTCTTCCTTAATTTTATTGGCTGCTATTTATTCAAGACTTGGAATGTGTGAGGCACTTGGCCTACCTGAGGCTTACAGATCAGTGGGTATTACTGTCATTTATCTTTATACACAAACATACATATATATGTCTTTGTTTTGTTTTTGAGACAGTCTCATTATGTAACCTAGGCTGATCTTGAACTCATGAGAGTCCTCAGCCTTCCGGGATTACAGGTGTTAACCACAATGCCTGGCTTATTTTCATTTAACTTGGTATTCTAGAGACATGGCCATCAGATTAACTGGATAATAACCCAGGGGATTTGTTGTCCCATCTCCCTAAGTAAGCCTGGCCTGACTGTGAGTTTGGTACTGGGTAACCAGAGTTCTTCAGGCCTGGCAGCATCCAGTATCCTGAACTGACCTGGTTCTGTTTCCTATTACTCCTCTTTCTCTTGACAGATAACAGATGCCCTTACTGCTATTGCCCTGTATTTTGCAATTCAGGACTTCAATAAAGTTGTGGTAAGTCATTAGTGGGTAGGACAAAGCTGGTGGGATTTGGTAACTCACTTATTATGGCAAAGAATCAGAAGTCATGCACTTAAAGATCCAAGTATGTAAGAATGTTAGGAAGTTCAGCAGGGCTGGTGAGATGGCTCATTGGATTAAGGCGTTTGCCAGCAAGCCTCTGGTGAGTTCTGTCTCCAGGGCTAACATGGTGGAAGGAGAGAAAGGATGACTGGAAGTCATCCTCTGACCTCTACTTATGTGCAGTGACATGTGCACTACCGCACACATACAGACACATGTAGACACGCACACACACTTCAAAGAAAGAAAGGGGGAGGCATGTTTGTATTGGCTCACACCTGCAGTCCCAGCGCTTAGAAGGTAAAGGATGTGTGAGAAGTGCAGGGCCATTCTCTGCGTTATGCCAGTTTGTGGCCAGCCTGGGCTTAATGATATACTATCTAAAATAAAATTGTATTCTATTTATTTTTTAATTTAATTTAATTTTATTATTTTCTGTGGGGGTATTTTGTATGCATGTGTGGTTGTGTACCACATGCATGCAGTGCCCTGGAGGCCAGAAGATGTTGGATCCCCTGGAACTGGAGTGATGAAAGGTTGTGAGCCACCATATGAGTGCTAGGAATTAAACCTGGGTCTTCTGCATGAACAAGTGCTCTTAGTCACTGCACCATCTCTCCAGCCCCTAAAATAAAACTTTTAAAGTCTTCTCTTTTATCAGTTTATTTTTCATTTATTTATTTATTTATTTATTTTGGTTTTTTGAGACAGGGTTTCTTGTCGTCCTGGCTGTCCTGGAATTCACTCTGTAGACCAGGCTGGCCTCGAACTCAGAAATCCGCCTGTCTCTGCCTCCCAAGTGCTGGGATTAAAGGCGTGCGCCACCACTGCCCGGCTAGTTTATTTTTTCAAAGGGAAAATGAACATAGCCTTTTAAGTCACTGTATTAGGCCTCTTGAAGTAAAATTGGATTCCCATTGTTGATAAATCAGTTTTCCTTCAGACAGTAATTTGGGGGTTGGAGATTGAAAGCAGGGCGTTGGAAAATGCTAGGCAAGTGCCATCCCACGGAGCTGCACTCCCCAGCCCTGAAAGAATAATCTTAATTAGAAAATTTGGCATATTGGGCTGGCAAGATTGCCTAGTCTATAAACATGCCTGCTGCCAATCTTGGCAACCTTAGTTCAGTCCCTGGAACCCACACGATGGAAGAAGAGAACTGACTCCAGCAAGTAGACTTCTGATCTCCATAGGCATGCCACGCTACATGTGAGCTCCTACATACAAATAAATAAGTGAGAAAAAGTATTGATGTAAAGTTTATTCCTAATTATGTAATAGCCAAGGAGAATGGCATCTTGGGACCATTCTCCTTGTCCAGGCTTCTGAGAGGACATGTATGCCTGGTGCCTGCAGAGGTCTGAAGAAGGTGTCAGATAGCCTGCATCTGGAGTTACAGATACCATGTGGGTGGAGTTGTATGTCACCGTGTGGGTGCTAAGAATGGAACTCAGGTCCTCTGCAAATGCTCTCAACAATTGAGTAATCTTTTCAGCCCCGTGTGTTTGTGTGTGTGTGTGTGTGTGTGTGTGGTTTTCTGTGTTTTTGTTCCTGTTTTTGAGACAGGCTCTTACTTGGTAGTCCAGGATGACCTTGAATGTTTAATCTTGTTTCTACTGAGTGCTAGATTATAGGTATATACCACCATGTCCAGCTCACTATGCTATTTCTTAGTGTGCCAAGGGGTGCTCTTATCCCCAAGACTGAATTAAAATTTGAAATATTTTTGTTTCTCTATTTCCAGAGTTCAGATTATTATGATATCGGATCTCTTGGTTGAGTGAGTTGACCAACACTCTGTCACAAATGACCTCATTTCGAATACCAGCTCTTTTGTTTTTTATAGTGCTGGGAATCAACCCCAAGGCCAGTGATCTATGGCTGAGCCATATCCCCAGCCTTTTTGTTTGTGTTTTGAGACAGGGTCTTGGTATATAGCTCAGGTGGACCTAGAATGTGATCTTTGTGATTCATCCTCTTTAGTCCTGGGGCTAGAGGTATGTTTCACCTTTATATGAATGCTGGAAGCAGCAGCTCTCAGTACTGCTGTCACATCATATACTGCTCTATTTTTTTTTCTTTTCCAGTGTGTAGAATAAGACCCAGGGGGATGGAGAGATAGCTCAGCGGTTAAGAGCACCAACTGCTCTTCAGAGGTCCTGAGTTCAATTCACAGCAACCACGTGGTGGCTCACAACCATCTGTAATGGGATCTGATGTCCTCTTCTGGTGTGTCTGAAGAGAGCAATGGTATACTCATATCCATAAAATAAATAAATAAATCTTAAAAAAAAAGACCCGGGGTTGGGGATTTAGCTCAGTGGTAGAGCGCTTGCCTAGCAAGTGCAAGGCCCTGGGTTCGGTCCTCAGCTCTGAAAAAAAAAAAAAAAAAAAGACCCAGGGTCTTATGTATGTGAGGCAGTCTACTACTGAGCTATACTCTGAGTCTTATTTATTATGTGTATACACTTGTGATGGCACACATGGAAAGTACAACTTGCAGGTATTGGTTTTTGTCTTCCATCATGTTGGTCTCAGAGATTGAACTCAAGCTGTTGGACTTGAGGGCAAGTTTCTTCACTTTCTGAGCCCTCTTGCTGGCCCTGTTTGTTTTTTAGACAGAGTCTCTGTATGTTGTTCAGACTGGCCTAGAACTAATTATGTAGCCCTAATTGGGCTACCTCCTGAGTGCTGGGATTACAGGTATATGCCACTATACCCAGACATATGGCTATTGATTTAGGTAGAATGTCAGTACATGTATTCCTGAAAGGCCCTACTTTGTTAAGGGCTTTCTTGAGTATTGTCATCATTGGCAAAATGTTTATGCTCCACTAAGTAATGCCTCCCACCCATGCTCATGCAAGTAACTAATTAAACTCAGCTGGTCTCTCAGTCTCTGCCTCTCTCCCTGCTCCCTCTCTCTTATACACACAGACAGACATACAACCATGCACACAGATGAAAATAGAGAGGCTCTAGAGAAATGGCTCAGTGGTTAAGAGCCCTGATTGTTCTTCTAGAGAACTCAGGTTCAGTTCCCAGCACCCACATGGCAGCTCACAACTGTTCAGAATGCCAGTCCCAGGGATCCAGAGCCCTCTTGATCTTTCCAGGCTCCAGGCACTCATGTGGTTCACAGACACATGCTGCTTGCAAGACAGCCATATCATAAAATAAAAGAAAGTAGTAAACCAGGCAGTGGTGGCACATGCCTTTAATCCCAGCACTTGGGAGGCAGAGGCAGGTGGATTTCTGAATTCGAGGCTAGTCTGGTCTACAGAGTGAGTTCCAGGACACCCAGGGCTATACAGAGAAACCCTGTCTCGAAAAACCAAAAAAAAAAAAAAAAAAAAAAAAGAAAAAAGAAAGAAAGAGAGTAGTGAGGGATGTGTTGGGACAAAGTACAGCAGGAGTCAGTAGTTGGAGCTGGCTGTGGTTAAAATACCATTAGGCACATGTCTGACGTTTCAAAGGATAAGTAAAAATTACATTTAAAATTCTCCGTTGGTTACAAGGATCTTTATAGTCCAGGGACATTTGTCTTGGTAGGATTTGAGACTTTATCCCTGTAGTCTGCAAAGCATCCTGGAAAACTGGTTCTGAGGGGACTTCATAGCCTGCCCTCTTTCCCCTGTCAGCCTGTGGGATATGAATGCTAGCTGATGGTAGCCAGTTGAGCCTAATCTATCCTTTTCTGCAATGATGTTTCTATTTTGGAACTCCCACCCAAGAATTTGTTGGGATACATCAGGGAGAACAAAGAACTTTGCACCCTTGTGTGATGCGTCCTAACTCCAGCTCCCCAGCCATTCCTGTTCCTTTCTCCATCATAATGCCTTCACACTTCCTCTATGAGAGTATAAAAGAAGACCAAACAAACAAACCTTTGAGATAGAGGAATGAGGAAGGGAACCTGAGACACTGTGCATCCAGGTCATTGAAACTGCTTGAACATGTTTTGCTGATGGAACTTTCAAGCCCTGCCACCACTGATGGTACCTCTGAGAATGACTAAGTGGCTTTGCCACACGTTAATCCATTCATTTGCCCACTGTGCTAAGTGTTAGGCATACACAGAGAGCAAGTTAAGTATCCCGAACACTTGTGGAACTTAGACTCTAGGGAGGAGCCAGGCATTAGTCAGTTAGAAGTACTGCCGTGAAAGAGTGTTTACAGTAGAATGTGTATACACACCTAAAGGAGCGTACACCTTCCCGGGAAGGGAGGTCATAGCTGAGCTCTCAAGGCTGTGTGAGAGTCAGCTAGGGGAGAGTTCTTGGAGCATGAGGATCTGGGACTTGGTGAGGTTGGTGGGAGACTGACTGTGAGGACTGGAGAGGTAGGGTAGGACAAACCGTGGTACAGACCAGGACAAAGATTTTTGTTTTCATCCTGAAAGCAATGGCAAATCATCTGTTTTATGTGTCTTGTGTGCCCTCTCCCACCTCTAGTTTAAAAAGCAGAAACTTCTCCTAGAATTGGACCAGTATGCCCCAGATGTGGCTGAGCTCATCCGAACCCCGATGGAAATGCGCTACATCCCTCTGAAAGTGGCCCTGTTGTAAGTACTCCCCCACAAATCAGAACTCAGTGCCAGCAAATGCAAGGAAAATCTGACGAAACTCTCCCGTGTTGTAGTTGTAGAGATTTGCAGTCTTAGTCATCAAGTATTTGCTGTACTTCTCTTGCACAACTGGGGTTTTGGCCAGCGACAGAGACAGAGCCATTCTGTCTCTGTTGAGACAAAGACTCACACAAGGACATGCACAATCCAACCCTTCTCAAAGGCCTTCTGACTCAGTGCTGGCCTGGGCTCCAACCTGATTGTAGCTAGGGTTTCTAAAAAATGGTAGTTCTTTATTAGTAGTGTTTTGAATAAAATTTTGGTCTTTATGTGCTGCTGTCTCACATAGCTTCTGTATTTCATGTATGATTTAGTTCCCTGTTTATAATTCAGAAAACTGGGCTAGGTGACGCTTTAAGAAAGAATTCTCTAGGAGTAGTTAATGCGCCAGTGAGTATGATCCTCTCAGATCATTCTTGTCTGTGTTTCTGAGATAGGCAAAATGAATTATTTAATCAGCCTGTAGTCACCAGATATTAATAACATGCTAGTTTCTAGGAACACATACTAAACAAAACATAAATTTCCTCATGGAAAAACATGCCCTTAGAATTTTTTAGAATTAGAAGCTGGACATGGTGTCACATGTTTGTGATCCCAGCCACAGGAGGAAGGACTGCTGAGTTTGAGGCTGATCTATGCAATGTAGCAGTATTCCATATCAGAAAACAAGGGTCTGTGGAGGGAGCTTGGTCGGTAGCTTGCTTGCATGGCATACAAGGCCCTGGGTTTGATCCTCAGCACCAAATAAACTGGGCACTGTAGTGCTTGTCTGTAATCCTACCACTTGGGAACAGGAGGCAGGAAGATCAGAGGTTCAAGGTCAGCTTCACCTACACAGTGAGTTTGATGCCCACTTAGGTATTCTAGGGGGCGGGCTACTTTTTAGGAGCCTTTGCTCTGTGTAAATTTCCTATTCAGTATTTCAGGTAGATGTCTAGGCAGTTGCTTCTTTAGTGTCACCCACTACTTAGAAATGGTTTTGTGTTTTTTTCTTCTATGAGATAATTTTGGTATATGTGTTCTCAACTACATATTTCAGAAATTTGATGGGAACTACTTTAATAAGACCAAACATTTGGCAACATAATGAATCCTTATAGACTCTCATATCCCCTGAGGGTAGTTTCATAATAGCAGCAGCCATTTCTTTAAAGGTTGTGTAACAAGTCTGATTGCTGGGGAAAACAAAAAACAAAAACCCACCAAACCCCCAAGAGTTTTTAGGCGTTTGGTTTTAGAACTACTAATCTTACATTCATAGGAGGTAGTATTAGACTTAAGGCCTTTACTTGTGAATAATTATTATAATCTTTTTCTAAGACACTGGTGTATTTCTTCCTTTCTGATAATCAGAATTATGTAACTGGCCTTTCTTCCTTTGTCTGCTGGGAAACTCAGCCAGGTCTGAGGCTGTTATTGTAAAGCTATAGACTTGTCTGAGGCTGGTTATTGTACAGCTGTAGTTCTTTTGTTTTTCTAGCTTTGCGTTATATTTTCTTCTTCTTCTCCTCCTTCTCCTCCTCTTCCTCTTCCTCCTCCTCCTCTTCTTCCTCCTCCTCTTCCTCTTCTTCCTCCTCCTTCTCCTTCTCTTCCTCCTCCTCCTCTTCTTCTTCTTCTTCATTTTTTTTTTTTTTTTTTGGTTTTTCGAGACAGGGTTTCTCTGTGTAGTCTGGCTGTCCTGGAACTCACTCTGTAGACCAGGCTGTCCTTGAACTCAGAAATCCACCTGCCTCTGCCTCCCAAGTGCTGGGATTAAAGGTGTGTGCCACCACTGTTGGCTTATATTTTCTTCTTATGTATTTCTCCTGGTCTTGAGTACAGCTGGTTTTACTTTACTGTTATTTTGTTATTTGTTTTCATTTTAGCTGATGCAGATTTTTTTGTAGAAGCAGGACAGAAATAAATAAAGAGAATCCATTCTGACTGTGTAAGACTTTCCAACTCAAAACCACTTTAGATTCATTTTCTAATTCCATTTTTTCCTACCTTAGTGGAGAAAGACTCCAGCTTAACTCTCATAATAGGAGGTCAAGATGTCCTGTGAAGTTCTGTGCCAACTAATGTGTAGAATTAAGAGAATACTTTGTTCATGGGTCTGGCTAAGGAGATACTGCCTATGAAGAGGGCTTATTAGAAAGAATGCTGGCTTTAGAACCAGGAAGACCTGATTTTTGAGTGAATTTAATAGCTTTAAAAACTTGGACAAGTTATTTAATCACTAAGTCTCAGTTTCCTCATCTACAAAAGTAGGATAATGTAGCTAGCCAGGTGGTACATACCTGAGATCCCAGCACTGACAAGGTAGAAGCTAGAGGGTTGGGAATGCAGGGTCATTATCTGTTCAAGGCCAGCTTGTGCTACCTGAGACCCCAAAACCACACAACAATGCAAAAAAAAAGCACTAAAAACAAAATAAAAACTAGATTTTTTTGCTAGTTTGTAGGATCTTTGTGATTCTTAAATAGAAACATGACTATATATATATATGTATATATACACACACACAATATAGTATAATAATGTTGAGTGCCTTTATTTGTCCAGTGCCACTTTATCCTCTTCTATTTGGGGTGATTTTTCTAAGAAGTTTTCTTTCTTTTCATAAATGAGTTGAACTTCATGGTTGTGGTGGCCAGGACTCTCTGGTCCATTGGTCAGATTTGCCAGTGACAAATCTATGTGTTTTCTCTAGCTATCTCCTAAATCCCTACACGATCTTGTCTTGTGTTGCCAAGTCTACCTGTGCCATCAACAACACCCTCATTGCTTTCTTCATTTTGACCACAATAAAAGGTAAGACATCCAAGAAGAATATAAAAGATACAGGGTTTTATCACACACATGCACGAGCTGACATGGTACTTACTATCACATTTGGGAGGCTGAGACAGAAAGATCTGGAATTGAAGGCCAGCCTTTACTGTATAGCAAAAACTTGTCTCAAAAAGAAAAATGCATTAAAAAAATTACATACAAATAACATTAAGATTATTATAGAAAGTTTTGATAAACCAAGAGAAAAGAAGATAAAGTCCTAAAAATCTACCACTCAGAGAATCACTGTTGACATAATCTTTCAAGAGTTCCAAGAAAATTATATGAGAATGCCAGTCTTGCCGGGTCGTGGTGGCCCACGCCTTTAATCCCAGCACTCGGGAGGCAGAGGCAGGCGGATTTCTGAGTTTGAGGCCAGCCTGGTCTACAGAGTGAGTTCCAGGACAGCCAGGGCTACACAGAGAAACCCTGTCTCGAAAAATCAAAACAAAACAAAACAAAAAAAAGAGAGAGAGAATGCCGGTCTGTCTTCTGTAGCTCTAGAAGAGAATGCCGGTCCTCTGTAGCTCTAGAAGAGAATACCTGTCCTCTGTAGCTCTAGAAGAGAATGCCGGTCTGTCTTCTGTAGCTCTAGAAGAGAATGCCGGTCTTCTGTAGCTCTAGTCCAGCTTTGTTGTTATTGACTCTCATTGTAGTCATGCAGATCTTTTGTAAATGCAGGACAGAAAGAAGGAAGAATCAATCCTCATTATAAGATGTCAAGGCCAGCCTTTGTTGTTGTAAGTCAGGCTAAGGGAGGATGACTTTGAACTACTAATCCTCCTGCCTCTACCTCCCAAGTGCTGGTGTTACAGGCTGAGCCATCACTACTGGCTAGTGCAGCTTCTTTGGAGCAGCACTTTGGTGGTATTTACTTCTGTGATTCTGAACTATGTAGTTACCTTATGAATGATACATTTTAGGCATTTTTAATTGTGTTCCATTATGAGAAGTGGAGATTCTCATAGGACTTTTGTACCAATGTTTCTGCTTCCTCTTTGTTTGATTTTCTTTTTTTTTCTTGTTTTCTTTTTTCTTTTTTTGGTTTTTTGAGAAAAACAAAACAAAAACAAAAAAACAACAACAACAAAAAAAAAACCAAAACAAAAAGAAAACTGTGGCACCAATAAATAAATAAATAAATCTGCCATCAAATATTACATTTCACAACACTGTGTATTGCTCACTGCTGGACAAAGCAGCAACTATTAGTACTTTTATTTTTTATTATTACTTTTGCTTTTTTCTGTGTGATTACTCTAGTCTTATACTGTGCCTTATTTTTCCTGGAATTGGTTTTTTTTTTTCATTTTTGTTTTTAATTTAATCTATTATTATGTGTGTGTATGATGTATTCATAGGGACACACATGCCATGGTTCAAGGGACCTTTCTTGCTCAGCCTAAATAACTGGAATATGTGTCACCTTGACCAATGCTGAAAATGTCACTTTTGTTTATTATTACTATGACTGTTATTCTTGTTATTAGTATTGATATGTCACTTTACTTTAAAGAGCTACTTAGAAGACAAAGGTAGTAGGGTCATAAGTTCAAGGCCTGCCTTTGCTTACATAGTGCACCAGAGGGCCAGCCAACCAACTTAGACCCTGATTCAAAAGTGTATAAGTAATGCCAGTCATAGTAGCACATGCCTGTAATCTCAGGTTTGGAAGGTAAACGTACGAGAGTCAGGATTCCAGGGTCATCCTCAGCAATATAGTGAGGAGTCTGAGGCCAGCCTGGGTTGCATGGAAGAGCTGACAAGTTGGCTTAGCAGGCAAAGGAGCCTGCCACTAAGTGTGACAGTCTGAATTTGATTCCCAGGACCCACATGATGGAAGGAGAGACACAGCTCTCACAAGTTCTCCGATGACTTCCATACTCCTTCTATGGACATACACAAATAATTTTTTTTTTAACTTGGGGGAAAAATGGTTCTAAGTAAGTTTCAGAGCTATAGTTTTGGTTCCAAAGAAAAGCTTTTTACTAATGACTTGATTTCTGTTGAATAAATTCATAGCCATTTTAAAATGTTATACAAACAATTTTGTTTAATGTTTTATGAACATTGCAAGTTGGTTTAACAAATTTGTATGACCCTCCTGAAAGGCTATTTATCAGTAGTCTTAAAAAATGTTTGTATTTTTTATTTATTCTGCTTTTTGTTTTTGAGACTGTGCCTCTCTATGTTGCTCTGGTTGTGTCTGGACCTCACTATGTAAATGAGGTTGACCTTGAACTCACAGAGCTCTGCCTGCCTCTGGTTCCTGAGTGCTGTGGTTAAAAGCGTGTGCCTCCATGCCTGCCTTATTTATTCTTCTTTTGAGAGCCTATCCTAAAGTAATACAGAGGGTTGAATATGTAGCTTACCTGGTAGAGCAATTTGCCCAGCATACACAAAGCCATAAGTTCAATTCCCAGCACTGCATAAATTTTGTGTGCTGCGGTTCTTTCTAAAGTAATACAGGTATTAAACACAAATTTGCCATTTTCTTTGTAATTTTCATTTTAATTTTAAAAATTAGAAATAGTTCAAGCACTTTGGTAAGAATAAAATAAATTTATACCAAACAAAAAGCAAGTGTTTTTCCACCCTCCCCCCATCTCCATGTCTCATAGACATTTGTTCTGAAGGCTGGCTCTTCCCTAGTGCTGGACATTTGTTTTCCACTGTTGTCTGCTATGAATAGAGTCTATCACAGTGTTCCTAATCTATTAAAATATTTGAAGAATTCTCTCTTAGTTATATTCTCTCTGAACCCACTTTGATTCTTCAAGTATATTAGTAATGCCTAATAATAGTTCATTCAGTGAAACTGGGTTAGTTATACATTCTTCAAGCCCTGTTTCTAGAAGTTGCATTGCATAAACAGTAAAACTAAAGATAGTATAATTCACTTTCAGTTACTTTTTTTGGCTTTTTGAGACAAAGTCTCACACTTGCCTCTGTTTATTATAGCTCAGATATAGGCTGAGCTCAGCATGATAGTGCAGAGATACAGTGAGGTCTGGAAGGAGATTGTTTAGGCTTATGTCCTTTTGTATCTCCACTTCCTGATCTGTAAGATGGGGATGTAATAGTGATTGAAAAGCCTGCAGTTTATGGTTTATGGCATGTGGCATGCTCATGGTTCTGTTTGGAACAAAGTAGTGCTCGACGTTTTCCCACTGGTATGCTTAGACTGCTTTGAAACAGCCTTCCCTGTTAAAAGAGCCCAGTTGGCAAGGGATGTGAGTGCACTGGGTCTGCCTCGAGCCGTTCCTCTGCCTCCTGTTGCCTCAGATGCTGGTGCAATTTCCTTTTCTGATACTCCTATGGAACCTTAGCCCTGTTGGCCAGTATTCTGGTCTGTCCCACTGCCTGCCCGCCCTGGGACAGGTCACTGTCTATGACCCAGACTCTTGACTATCCCTTTGCTACCTTCATGTCCTGAGCCAGCCCACTGGCTTCTTGTCTCATCCCTACGTCTGTCTGTCTCCTGCTCTGCCTTGCTGTTGTGTCACTTACCCAGGCCCTCGGGATGGTGCAGTCCCTGAAGCACCACCTTGCAGAAGCTTGTTTTGGTCCCCACCCTGATATGGAATTGGAAAATATATTCAGAGTTAGATTGGGTAATGTCATTCCCTGATCCAGCAGCTAGTCCCATATCCACTTAGCTAGTTTATCCTAATGTTTTCATCAGTGACCAGGCCAAAGGTCAAGTTTTGCTCATGAAATCTATGGACTGTACTTGCAAATACTAGCAAGTTATATCATTTGGGGTAAAACTCATATCCCTCTTGTCAAAGGTCTTCCTAGTTAGACATTATTTCAGTTTTAGACCTGTATATATTAATTTTGGATTATTTTTGGAACTAAGCCCTTCACGCTTTGACTTCTGCCTGCTTATTGCAATTTTATATGGTAGATTTTAAGTTTTAATTTAACTATATCAGGTGTAACACAAAAATATAAAAACTGGGCTGGGAATGTAGCACAGCTGGCAGAGCTCTTGCCTCGATGATATAATAATCTCTAGCACTTCATAAACTAGAGGTGCTGGCCTCTACCTGAGGACCTAGCATTTGGAAAGACCAGAAGTTCAAGGTCATCCTCAACTACATTGCAAACCCAAGGCCAGTCCAAGTGATAGAAGACTGTCTCAAAAAAAGGGGAGGGGGGTGAGGTTTCTCTTCTGGATGCTGGTAGCATTCTACCTCTTAATCTGGGTACCAGGACTCAGTAGTTCATGAAACTTCATTTATCTTTATACTAACGACTCCTATGTCTTTCTTTTTTGTTTTTGTTTGTTTTGTCTTGAGACAGGATCTCAAGTATTCTAGGCTGACCTTGAACTTACTATACAGCAGAGATTGACTTTGAACTCCTTAATTCTCCAGCCTCCATGTCACTTGTCCTCATCCAGAGTCCCTGCCCCCCTCCACTGTCTGTTAATTAGCATCCTGCCTATTCTTAGCACTGCTCCCTCAAATCCTCCCATTCTTCATATGCTGTTTCCTTAGCCGCTGGGTCTCACTTACTCACTGTTCAAAGCTCAGGTGTCAGCATCCCCCAATGGGTGTGGCCTGCCTCCGATGTACTACTTTCCTATATTTTGTATTGTTTACTGCGAACTCCATGAGGACATACCTGAGTCACCCATCTCCTTGACACCCAGCATATGTTTGACACAGCAGACTCTGGTGTTTGTTTATCACAGTTTGTCTGAAATATTTGGTCACCTTTTAATTTTTTCCATCTTCCCTGCCCCTTTGCTATCCACATATCATCCTAACTGGATGGCTTCTTCATTCTTCTTATCTTTCTGAGATTTCTTCAAAACCTACCAGCCCTTTCTAAGTCTTTGTGCACCTCCATGCCTGTCTTGTTGTCTCATACCCAGACACCAGGCCATTAACTGTAGGACCATCATGCTTCTACCCCAGAATTCAGGCCTCAGCTATCCAGTCATTATTTTATTCTAGAGAGCATCCCCATGCCAGGCCCCTGCCATTCTGAGTTCTCAATTGTCCATCTGTAGGATTTGATCCATCTTAAAGTAGATTTTATGTTGTGCTTCTCAGGTTACATTACCCTCTGTTAATGCTTTGTGGCTTCTTCCTCAAGGGCATTGGTTTGCTTTATTGTGCTTTCATTATTTTTTTGGAACAGGGTCCTGACTGTCTGGGAACTCGATCTGTAGACCCTGGTGGCTGGCCTTGAACTCAGAGATCTGCCTGCCTCTGGCTCCCGAGTGCTGGGATTAAAGGCGTGATACACCATCTCCAGCTATGTGCTTGCTTTTTAAAAGGCTCTCCTATGTATATTACTGATTGACATTCATTCATCCGGTCAGTTACACATTCACTGTGTGTGCTGCAAAAGGAAGAGACTTACTGCCCTTGAGAAATTCCCAAGATAGGGAAGAAAGGGCAAACTGGCATTACTAGTGTCTTCTTAACAAGAGTTGAAAGGATGGACTGGCAAAGGTGGGCAGCTTTAGGTTCTGTATTTAACTTTACTTCTAGGCCTTGGTTTCTACATGTGTGAAATGAGTAGAATATGTGATTTTATCATGATAAATGTGTCACAAGAAAGTGAGCTGAAAGTTCTTTTGCAAGCTGTTGCGATGTTTCCCTGAAGGCCTCTTTGAGTCTGGCACCTACTTGAGGTAGACATTACACAATGCATGCCACCTAGTAAGGGAGCATCAAGTGCTAGCTGTAACGGCTTTTGTTAACGCTGCTTGAGTTCTGTGGCCACTGTGGGATGACAGGGCAAGAGCTCAGGTGGAAAGAATAGCATGAGCACAGACACATGAACAGAAGGGCATGCTGTTTCAGCAACCGTGCAGTGGTGGTGTAAGTGGAAGGCAGGCGTGTGGGCAAGTGATGAGAGGTGAAGAGACAGAGCGCAGATAGTGAGGGTCGTGCTTGGTCTTGGAGTTTGATTGATGCATTGGGAATTCAGAAGCCTGCCTATGGGTGGATGGATGGATGGATGGATGGATGGAATTTATCTATCTATCTATCTATCTATCTATCTATCTATCTATCTATCTATCTATCTATCTATCTATCTTTATAGGCTAACCTTGAACTCACAGAGGTTTGCCTGCTTCTGCCTCCCAAATGCTGGGATTAAAGGCGTGTACCACCAGCACCACCATGGCCCAACTTTGTTTTTGTGTTGTTTGTTTTTTGTTTTCCAGTACAGGGTCTCTCTGTGTAGCTCTGGCTGTCCTTGAACTAGCTCTGTAGACCAAGCTAACCTCGAACTCATAAAGATCCTCTTGCCTCTGCCTCCTAGGTGCTAAGATTAAAGATGTGTGCCACCACTGCTGGGCTCTGGCTTTGTTTTTTCTAGAGCCAAATTTATTTATTTATTGCATTTGAGGAGCTCTTCAATGATATTCTTGGCTTGAGATGCTTTGTCATAGTCCTTAACCACTATACAACTACAACCAACCACGTTGTGGAATTTCCCCTCTTGATCAACTCTACAGAGGCACACCCATTCCCCTAGTTTCTTGCTGTCATCAAATTTAATTAATGTGATTTGGTGCTGAGCACAAAGGGCCTCCACCAACTTGACATACACAGGCTTTTCACAGCTGGACGCGAGCACACAAAGATGGGCTTGGCCCTTGTCTGAGTCTTTGGCAGCTTTGAGAGATCTACATGGTAGGCCATTGTAGATGAGAGTGTTTTCCAGTACTTGTTGTCAGGCAGGATGAACAATCCCAGCAGCCATGCCTTGTTTGCCCATGGCAGTGGCTTATGGCTGAAGTCCAATATTGAATGCACTTGAGCCTCTGCTGTCACGTGACTTGGTAGTAACAGGAACAAACTGTGTTTTGATTTTTGAGACAGGGTCTCAGGCAGCCCAGGACTATTTCAGCTAGGATGAAGGTGGTGTTGAGTTCCTGGTGCTCCTGCCGTGCCTTTGCTGATGTTATAGGTGTGCGCTGCAGTACCTGGCCTAGTCTTTGTAGATTAGTCACTGCCTGTTTTACAAGAGTCCTTTGCTGCTTCTGTGAAGGAAGGGGCCAACTAGAAAGAGATTTCTGAACACTGGTGACAGATGAGAACAAGAACTGACTTCAGAGGTGGACCTGTGGGCCTGGGGACTGGTGTAAGAGGGAATGTGGAGCTGAGGTATCCAGCTGGACGTCAATGCCTCTTATTAATAGGAAGCAGGCGGAACTGATTCTTCTTGCCTAAGATTTCCATGCAGGCATTGGGAATGTAGCTCAATGGTAGAGTAATTGCCCAGCAAGGTCATGGGTTGCAATCCCTAGTACTAATAAAACAATTAAAATTATTTAAGATGTCATCCCAGGGTTGGGTGTGGTAGCAGATACCTTGAATCCTAGAACTCAGGAGTCTGAGGAAGGCAGATTGCTCTGAGATCCAGGCTAACTTGGCCTACATAGTGAGTTCCAGGATAGCCTGGGCTACATAGAGACCCTGTGCATAAATAAACAAACAAAGCACATTTTCTAAGTTCACCCTATTCCTCTCTTAGCCTTTTTTCTCTCTTGGGTCTTACAGATGTCTGTTCCAGACAAGCAATTACTGATTTTAGGCAATTAGGGCAGGAAGGTAACTGTGTTTATTTCATTATTTGGTGTTTCCTGGGGCCAAGAATGAGGTGATGGTCATGTACTTTCACCTTATTTGTATGAATGAATGAACTGGAGCAATAATCTTCCAACTCGGACAACACATACATGTATGGGCCTACCAGATGCATACAAAACACGTGAAATAAAAAACTCTCTAGCATTTCCCCACTCTTAGCCAATTTCCCACAAGTTGTTATTCAAGCTTTTGGCAAGGTCAAGGAATCCTGAACCTACTTTTGCCTTTCTCATGGGTACCAACCCCCATCCCTCCCACCCCCAGTCCCCACCCCCGTGATGTGGTTCTGGTTCCAGAGTCTATAACAGAAGGTGGGAGGAGTCCTCTCTTGGTGTCAGGACTTGGCTGGGCATGTTTCTGTGTCTGCTTAGTTGTTTTAGCAAGTACCTGAAGTCCAGAACATCTTGTCTGTTACTCATCAGTACGGGGGACAGCCTTATTCCAGGAACTCTGCTCTTTGTCCTCTGCATCCAACTTCCTCCTGTCCCTGTCATCTCCCTATCTACTGTTTTGTCCACCACAATTATTCTTAGTTTGCAGTTTCTTGGTTTGAAGAATGTTCAGCGTTCTTTTGTCTACTTCCTCATCTTTTTATTTTATTTATTATTATTATTATTATTTTTTTTTTTTTGGTTTGGTTTTTTGATACAGGGTTTCTCTGTGTAGCCTTGGCTGTCCTGGAACTCACTCTGTAGACCAGGCTAGCCTCGAACTCTCGAACTCAGAAATCCGCCTGCCTCTGCCTCCCAAGTGCTGGGATTAAAGGCGTGCGCCACCACTACCCAGCGAAAGTTTTAGAAAGAAAACAGATAACCTGAACCTGATGGCGTAAGCTTTATCTCTTAAAATTTCATTTAACAAGGTTTTGTAAATATCTTTTCATGTCATCATAGATTCTTTTAGTACATTCATAGTGATTACATAGCAGTCCATTTTGTGTAGAGAATAGACTCATTATTAATAAAAAGAATACACTCTTAGCTTGATGTGAGGGCTTGGAGGACTTATATAAACGGATTGCTGCAAGTGTGATGCCAGCTTTGGCTACAGAGTGAAACCAAAAAGTAAACATCAATAATCGGTTTTTATTTAGAAAAAAAGAAACATGCAGCTTGGAGATAGAGGCGTTACCGAGTGATGAGTTTTGAAGCTCTGAGCGTCACGAGCTGTAAGTGCAGGTCAGGAACTTGGTGCACTAGTCGTGAGGTTAATAGATGTTATCTGTTTGTAAGCCTTTGGACCACAGTTTTTATAAATCTTTCTGACTCTGAAATTTTCTTAAGAAACATAACTATGGCGTCACAAGTTGCTAAAGGTGGTGATTTTGACTTCCATGGGAACTAAGCCAAGTAGTTTGCTTGTTTGAGTTTGCATAGTACCTTGCATACAGGAAACACTTGACAGGTCATTGAGAATTTAGGAGTTTCACATTGATGTGGACTTGTTGAGTGAAGCCCTGACTGACGAGGCTGGGTTATTCCACACCTTTGTTTCTTTTCACAGGCAGCGTTTTCCTCAGTGCTATTTTTCTTGCCTTAGCAACATACCAGTCTCTGTACCCAATCACCTTGTTTGCCCCAGGACTTCTCTATCTCCTCCAGGTAAGCACTTGCTGGTGCCACTGCCCAGTGATACTCAGTACATGGCCTGGTCCCTTCTGGGGGGCGGGGGCGGAGCAGGAAGGGCACAGTCCACTAACAGCATTTGGAGCTAGGGATGTACCTCAGTGGTTGGATGCTTACATAGCATACATGAGGCTCTGGTTCAATCCCTAATACCACAAAACCAAAACAGAACATTTTTTAAAATGTTTTTGAAATTGGGCCTTGAACTGAAGACACCTTACTTCTACTTGAAAAGATAAAGACTATTATGAAACAAAGGAGACTTCAAAGTCACTAAGTTCTAATTGTGTCTGTCGTTGCAAGTGTGTAGAGACAGTTCACTTAGAATGTTTGTAGTAGGGACCCACTAAACACGGTATTTTGTTTCACCCAATATACATAGACCTCATTGAGTTCATTTAAAGTTTTTACTCTTATCAAGAGCACTTGCCTTATAAAGGTCTTACAGCAATTAAACAAAATGGGAAATTTTAAACTGTGTCTGCTATTTGCAATAAGCAGTAAACTCCACACTAATGAAAGAGATGGTAGGTATTATCCTTTTTTTTGAAACGTGACACACTGACCAGCCTTATACCATCACCCCTGGCTGACCTCTGCGCTACTTTGCAACCCAGGCCCCTTAGCAAACAAGAACATAGTAAGTAAGTGGCCACTACAGAGCACAGTATCAAAGGCTACTGAGGACTAACGTTTGTGGAGAATAAATACCCTGCGTGTAAAGCACTTATGCTAAGCCCTCTGCAAACATCACCTCACCTTAACCGTAGAAACTTCATGGGGTAGGCTATATCATTAGCTGTGTGGTGACTAAATAGATTTCACTTGACATGGGAATCAAAACTGGAATTTTGGGAGGTTCGGTCACTCACCTAAGCCATCAAATTACAGCACTGCGCTCTGTGCGCAGGCAATCTGACTCAGGAGTGTGCTTTCTTTTTTTTTTTTTTGGTTTTTCGAGACAGGGTTTCTCTGTGTAGCCCTGGCTGTCCTGGAACTCACTCTGTAGACCAGGCTGGCCTCGAACTCAGAAATCCACCTGCCTCTGCCTCCCAAGTGCTGGGATTAAAGGCATGCGCCACCACCGCCCGGCAAGGAGTGTGCTTTCCAACCATCTCTCTTTTCAGCTCGTGTAGAGTGTACACCTCAAGCTTGAGATGTAGCTTGGTAGTACAGCACAACAGTTAGCATTCATTTAGGCTCTAGGTTTGATCCTTAACTACTTGCCTACCCTATAAAAAAGAACACACATCAAATTGGCTCCAAACGGACCCAAGTCTATCCTTAGAAGAGAGATGTTTGCTGAAAGTGTGTAGTCAGCAGCACTGGGTTCAAGTCCAGGAGAGCAGTTAGGCCACGTTAGACTGTACACCTCACTCATTAAAACAGGCCATGTCTTACCGTTATAACTTACTTGGTGATAGAGAATCATGTTGATGCACACAATGGTAAAAGATGAATTTATTCCTCTTTATTAGTAATATGTAGTAGAAAGTTGTTTTTCTTTTCTTCTTTTTGTGCTGAGAATTGACTGTAGGGCCATACCCATGCTACTCAAGTACTTTCACTAAGCCTCAGCCCTTTTTTTACTTGTTTTGTTTTGTTTTGTTTTTCGAGACAGGGTTTCTCTGTGTAGCCCTGGCTGTCCTGTAATTCACTCTGTAGACCAGGCTGGCCTCGAACTCAGAAATCCACCTGCCTCTGCCTCCCAAGTGCTGGGATTAAAGGTGTGCGCCACCACTGCCCGGCTTCTTTTTCTTACTTTTTAAAAAATTTGAAATACTATTTACTAAATTGCCCAAGCTGTCTTTGTACTTACTATGTAAGGCACGCCTTCTCAGTAACTGGAATTACAGGCTTGCATTTCCAGGCTGAGCTGGAGTAAATCAATCTTCCCTCCCTCCTTCCCTCCCTCCTTCCCTCCCTCCTTCCCTCCCTCCTTCCCTCCCTCCCTTCCTTCCTTCCTTGCTCTTTCCCTCCTTTTCTCCCTTCCTCCCTTCCTTTGTTTTCTTTCCTGTGTACCTTTCTTCTGTCCTTTTACTCATCTTTTTTTGTATATACATGTACATACATTTACATACATGTGTCGTGTGTGTGTGTGTGTGTGTGTGTCCCCATGTGAATTGAACATCCAGAGGGCAGAGGAGGTATCTACCCTGTCCCAGCATTCTCTTCCTTGTTTTCTTGAGACAGGGTCTCCACTGAACTTGGACCTAGGCTGGTAGACAAAAAGCCCCATGAACCCTCTTGGCTGCTGGGGTTTCAAGGATGTTTGCAGCCATGTCTGGCTTTTTATCTGAATGTGGGAGTTTGAACTTGGGTCCTCATGCTTGCACAGAGGAAATAAGTGCTCTTAATTTCTGAGCTTTCTTCCTAGCCAGTGAAAAAAATTTTTCTTATTTTCTAGTTGGATCTAAGCCTGTGAAAAGTTTTATAGTTATTATATGCAAATCCAGATTGTTCATCCGAAAGCTTGAGCCAGACTGTGGTGTCACCAGCAGTGCCCACAGAGGAGTGAACTGCTTCCTTGTCTGCCAGCACTGGCTTTTCAAGGTAGATTTATAGTTGCCAGTTTAGTAGACGGATCATTATGTGGTGAAATTACTTGGTTTTGATATTTTTTCCTAATGTTTTTAGTATGTGTAGGCCAGAAGTCCAAATGAGGTGTTCTCTAGTGCTCTCCACATTTTTTTTTTTTTTGAGACCAAGTCCCACTAGATGATATTCTGGGTGACTTTGGAACTCACTGTATAGACCAGGCTAGCCTCAAACTCAAGAAATTTGCTTGCCTTTGCCTCCTTAGTGCTAGGATTAAAGGCATATACCACTGTACCTGACATGTCTACTTTATTCTTTGAGAGTGCCTGTCACTGAACTTCCATGAAGCTCACTGGTTCAGCTAGACTGGCTGGCCAGCAAGCCCCCAAGATCCACCTGTCTCTGTGATTACAGGTCCATGAAAACATGCTAGACACTTTAGGGATGATGGGGGATTTGAACTCTGGTCCTCAAGCTTGTACAACAAGCACTTTACACACTAAGCTAATTCCCTAGCCCATCTATTTTCTTCCTTCCCTTCTTCCTTCACCTTTCTTCCTTCTTTCCTTCCCCCCTTTGCTTCATTCTTCCAAATGCTGGGATTACACATGTATGCCTCCATACCAGCTGAATTTCCCTTCATCTTTTATATGTATATCCTTTAGGAAATCTGACCCGAGGCCAGCAAGATGGCTCATCTGATAAAGGTGCTTGCCTCCAAGTCTAATGACCAGAATTATATCACCAGAATCAAATTGGGGAAAGAGAACCAATTCCTACAAGTTGTCCTCTGACTTCTACATGTGCACTGTAGCACATATATGTACAAATACATACATAAAAATATTAATAAACAAATGTCTTTTTAATGGAGCCTGAATATAGCAAGGTTTAGAATTTAAATTAGGTATAAAATGAAAAATAAAACTAAATAGATGAAAATAGATAATATATACTATATAGATAACAGATGATAAATAGATAATATATACTATATAGATAATAGATGATAAATAGATAATATGTACTATATAGATAATAGATGATAGATAGACAATAGATACTATATAGATAACAGGTGATAAATAGACAATAGATGCTATATAGATAAGAGATGATAAGTGTTTGATGATTGTATCATCTCAACCTTTTTCCATACTTGAGATTTCTCAGAACAAGACAAAAGGAACTAGGAGACAGCGTCTGACATCTTGGTTCAGACACCCTTGGTCTAACTTTCGTCTTTACTTTCCTCAATTATAAAATAGGATAATGGGTCAGCAAAATGGGCCAGCACATAAAGCAGTTGCCACCCAAGCGTGACAGCCTGAGTCAGATCCCCTGAACCCACGATAGAAGAAGATACCTCATTTCCCAAAGTGGTCTTCTGACTTCCACACTCACACCAAGGCGTGAGCATACCCTGCTTATGTATCATACACAAACACAAAAACAAACATACAGACACACACATATACAATAATAATAATGATAGTAATAGCAATAATAAATAAAAATGTAAGATGGGATAATAGCACCTGTTGAAATGGTTCATACATGTTGAGTATCTAGAATACAGTCTAGTGGGAGCTTGGTAGTGTAGTTATTGGTATGCACATGGCAGCAGTGTGGTTATGGAACAGACACAGTTACCAATTTGTAAGTATGAGGAGCAGTGAGGGGAAAGAAAACTACTTCTTTTCTAGAATCAAAGGAACGCTAAAATTAGTGTACTTCCTCTTTTGACAACATAAATCTGCCTTCATTTTGCTGGTAGTTTCTAGAGACTGCAAAATGTAGATAGTGGATAAGCTAATGTCTCATCAGAGCCAAAGGCAAAGGCTGTTTTTCTGTCCTCTCAAGAGACAGAGGGTCAGAAGCAGGGATGCTGCATCTGGTTCCCTGGTGAGTTACTGATGAAAATGATAGTTTGAGCCCATCTGTTCCCTTCCCCCAACTCTGCTCTTCCTTTGACCTTGGCTTGGAGCCTAGTTTCCAAATTAGAGAGACACTCACAGTGTATGATCTGATAGCATGCAGAATCAAACAGTCCTGGTATGCCCAGCACTAGAGTCCACAGTGAAAAACAAGCCTAGTGTACAAGACCCAGAAGCTGAGTAGAACCCCTCCCTCCTGGTAATACATGTTTGTAACTCTAATACTCAGGTTACTGAAGCAGAGGGAATGTCATAAGTTTGGGGCCAGCCTGATTACATAAAGGGGTCCAGGCTAGCATGAACAACATAGCAATCAAAACAAAACAAACAAAGACGTAGGGGAGGGGAGAAAAGGCTTGAAGTGGTGATGTTGGTGAGAGAGACTAGGGGTCAGGCTAAAGGAGCTCCTGGAACAATACAGGAAGATTTTTTTCTTCCCTCCTCCCTCCATTTTGCTTGGAATTCATTCTATCTCTGTCTCTCTCTCTGTCTCTGTCTCTCTCCCTCTCTCCCTCTCCC